AGTGTGGCTGCTTCACTGTGTAGTAGGTGTCGGTGAGGTGGTGGGTAGAGTTGTCTGTTTGTTCTTTACCACTGCAGAACGTTGCCGTAGGTTGTGATGGAAAACTGTTCGTCTTCGGCATCGGGTTGTTGTGGCTCCCAAGATTTTGTTGGCAAAGCCCCGTGGCTAGTGAGCGCGTGTGCCTCCGTATCTGCCTCCTCGTTTCGGCTCAGGCACGTGTCCAGCTTCCCAGTACACGCGGGAACCACTTCATGGTAGCGTTCGTTTCAGTCTTGGTAATGCGTAACTTACTCTTGCGGTTGTTTCATGCACATTGTTTCTAGCAAAGGTAATTATTGCAGGCTTCGAGTCGCTGAGGATTATGTGGCAATCCGGGATCGCCAGTGCCAGTAAAATTTAAAATTAGTCGGCTTGCGGGGGCGACTTGCATCGTATGCTTCCCGACGTTGTTAGTACTCCGGTGTCTGCTGCAATGACTGCTTGCTGCGTACGTGTTTGGCCGATGGGGATAGTTCGCCGCCCCCATGTAGTACCCGCCTGGATTGCTGGCATGTCCTCTTTGTGAGGGCCATGGCTCTCGCCATTATTTTTTCTTATTGTACTTGTGGCTGCAAGTGCTTCGGTAACAATGGTACCCCCTGTCTTATGAGAACGTCCCGAGGTAGGTGCTTTGCTACCTCTGGGGTGGTTCCAGGCTCCTAGATTCCGATTTGTTGTAGTATTGTTCTTCCCATCCTATTCTGGGACAGACGGTGACACTGCGCTGTTTGCAGGGCTTGTGCGATTTTTTCCAGCGTGTTGTGAACTTCCAACGTGAGCATGCGTTCCGTGTTGGTGGGGGGTATAGGCCCAGGGCCGTTTTGTGCATCTTTCTAACCATCGCATGAATCTCCATCTTCTCCGCCGCTTTCCGATTGTGGAAAGACGCTACGTAAGAGACGTGGCTGACTGCAAAAGACTGTGTATAGTCGTAGTATACTGTTTCCTCTGATGCCCTTCTACCGAGTGGCTACTTTATTGAGTTAGCGAGTGGCCAGGGACAGCTTTGCGTGGAGCTTCTGTACCGTCACGTTGCTGTGCTTCACATTCTGGAGGCGCAGACTTAAAACTCTGAGCATTGACAAGTGCAGTATCAGCGTTCCATCTTGGCTTACCACGTTGATGTGTGGTGTTGTCGGGCGTTGCGCATGTTGCGTGAGTTCCCTAGCAGTTCTGAATTGGTTGCTGAACATTTGAGTCTGGTGGGTCCTAGGTGATTTTCTATGGCGACGACGGCTTTTTGGAGGGGATGCCTCGACATGCCTGTCACTTCCTCCCGTTGACCACAGCGTGATTTCATCCACTTAGATCGTGTACTTGATGTTCGTAACACGTTATCATCTTCCTACTACGCCTATCTTGACGAGGTTGAACAACAGAGGGGAGATAACCGAGACCTGCGGGGTACCCATGCTCCCCAGCTGCTTGAGCGGTAGTTGTAGTTCTCCTGCCACAATCCTGTGTGGTGTGGCTGTTCAGAAAATATATGATGTAAGTGAACACCCTCTTCCGCATGTCTAAGTGGGACAACTGCCGAAGGACGGCTGAGTGGTGTGCGTTGTCGAATACTCCCTGAAGGTCGAGTCCGAACACCCCTCTGCTCTCTAACGTCGGAAACTGTCTGTCCACGATTTCGTTCTTCAGTAAGAGCGTGGCGTCCTGGGAGGACAAACTGGCCCGAAACCCCTAATTGTATGTAGATATACGTTGGAGTCCTCCAAATAACGTTGTCATCTATTGAGTAGGACGTGTTTCAGCCCTTTTCCTACGCACGAAGTCAGAGAGATGGGTCTCAGGCTGTCCATGCAGGGTGGTTTGCCCAGTAGAGGATTAGAACCCGTTTGAGCCTATTGTTGCGACAGCCTACGCATCCACCAACATTGGTTCTAATACTTGCATAGAGCATCGATTGCGGTCTCGTTCAAGTTCCTGAATGTCTTGTTGGTAATGTGGTATGGCCAGTACGCCCATTTACAGTTAATTGTCTGTAGAACTACTCACACTTCCCATTCTTTGATGTCGGCAACCAGTCTCTCGTTGGCAGATTCGTAGCTAGGGAGTAGGTCTGTTGGCATTAAAGGAAGATACTTGACGTCCACGTGTCGTTGCACCTCAGCCTCTCCCGTTTGATTGACTGCTTTGTGAGTAGTCTTATTCAGCAAGTAACGCTGAGCTCCCTTGGTTGTCTAATCGTTGACCAAGTGACATCGCAGGCGCCATGTCTTGCCTTTTTGCAGTCAACCATCGGCTTCTTGAGACACCGCGTACGACTGCTTTCTGCAGAGGACTGTGCTGTGATGCTTGAAGTCTCTGTTGAGTTATGCTATATATTTTTGTAGCTTTCTGCTCTGGCGTGAACGTCTCCAGCGTCGCCTCATTGAGTTGCGGGCTGCTTCTATAAGGGGGGCTAATCTTCTGTCCAGCATCGTAGCCTCTGCCTCCGCTTTCATCATTTGAGTGGCTTTTTGGCTGTGGCGTTCAACATGTTGGTACGTGCTTCTATGTCTTCAATGGTTTCTGCTACGTTGTCTTTTAATCTTTTTGTATATTCGTATTAGTCGACGATTTGCTGCTAATGTGCCATTTGCGTGCCCTCTGCAGTGGGTATTACAATTTCGAGTGTGCAGTGGTCACTTCCCAACGTCTCCCCTGTGTTCCGACACGTGACGCCACACAGTGTCAAGGCGGTGTTTATGAAGTAATGTTCGGATTTGTGTCTCGCTGCGACGACGTTCCGTTTCTCGCAGGTGCGTTGGAAGTCGTTTTGCAATTGATAACTTGCGTCCTTTGTTTCGACGTAGAGGCTTTGGCCTTTCACCGTCGTGTATGAATACCCCCATGCCGTATGTTGACCATTGAAGTCTCCACACAGTAGGTTTACGTTGGAGCCTGCGAGGTGACGCGCTCTGTGCACTAAAGTGCGGAATTTTCACTAGAAGTCCTTAAAATTGCTGTACAGGATGGCTATGAAAGTTGAAAAAGATCGTTACGACAGTACATACATCAAAGCAGCAAGAGACACAACGTTATATTACTACAAGAAATGCACAGTGAAGCCCCACCGATGCTACCGGGATACAGATCCTTTGCGAAGTCTCCAGAGCGAGAACAGTTAGGTAAGGTGCCGGTCAGGAGGTGTGCACATTGCTAAAGAAGAATGTAACCTCAATAGATCACGAGTGGCTACCCAACAGCGCTATTGAGCATCAACATCATCATCATCATCAGCCTGACTACGTCCACTGCAGGACAAAGGCCTCTCCCGTGTTCCGCCAGTTAACCCGGTCCTGTGCTTGCTGCTGCCAATTTATACCCGCAAACTTCTTAATCTCATCTGCCCACCTAACCTTCTGTCTCCCCCTAACCCGCTTCCCTTCTCTAGGAATCCAGTAAGTTACCCTTGATGACCAGCGCTTATCCTGTCTACGCGCTACATGCCTGGCCCATGTCCATTTTCTCTTCTTTATTTCAACTATGATATCCTTAACCCCCGTTTGTCCCCTAATCCACTCTGCTCTCTTCTTGTCTCTTAAGGTTACACCTACCATTTTTCTTTCCATTGCTCGCTGCGTCGTCCTCAATTTAAGCTGAACCCTCTTTGTAAGTCTCCAGGTTTCTGCTCCGTAGCTAAGTACCGGCAAGATACAGCTATTATATACCTTCCTCTTGAGGGATAGTGGCAATCTACCTGTCATAATTTGAGAGTGCTTGCCGAATGTGCTCCACCCCATTTTTATTCTTCTAGTTACTTCAATCTCGTGGTTAGGCTCTGTGGTTATTACCTGCCCTAAGTAGGCATAGTCTTTTACAACTTCAAGTGCACTATTACCTATCTCGAAGTACCGTTCCTTTCCGAGGTTGTTGTACATTACTTTTGTTTTCTGCAGTATAATTTTAAGACCCACCTTTCTGCTCTCCTTGTGTAACTCCGTAATCAAGAGTTGCAATTCGTCCCCTGAGTTACTCAGCAATGCAATGTCATCGGCGAAGCGCAAGTTACTAAGGTATTCTCCATTAACTCTTATCCCTAACTGTTCCCATTCTAGGCTTCTGAAAACTTCCTGTAAGCACGCGGTAAATAGCGCACCGTGGTCATAATCGTCGCCGGGTAGCGCAAGTGTCATGAAAGCGCTTTTATAAGCCAACAAGATGAAAAAAGTGCCGACTAACGGGACAGTTACGTTACCAAATAGCTTATCGTAAGTGCATTATCCATTATATTTTGAAAATTGTAATGTGTACGTTACTAAGTTACCAAAATGAAGTGCTTCAATGTAATACTTGTAATGCGTTGCCGCCAGCACTGCTGTGAACTGAACCTACCTGAGAAAACCACGAACTCATGCAACGAAACTTCCTTGCAAACTATTCAACTATTCACGTGATGCAAATGACAAAAAATACCGGAGATAGTTCAGAGATTTAAAACTTGCAGCTACCTTCTCCTCAATTTTGTTTTCGCAGCAGGTCAATATCTTCACTATTAGGGGATCCACATTCTGCCTTTTCTTGCTCCTATTTCTTCTGTGTTCTGGCTGTGGCACAAATATTCACTAAACATCAATATTGTGATGCAGCAACTTTTGCTCCCTAATTAATATGACCTCACCTGCATGGTCGAAGTAATGTGCAACCATTCAAAAACTAGCCCATCTCTCCATTCCAATCACGTCACTTCTCGAATTATCTTTCTTTCTCACTTCGCGTATGCGCTACCCAAAACCACTAGAGCAATTCAGTTTGTAAACTTTCTAGGCGTTATAGCGTTTTATGCAATTGTTACTTTTGTGTTACCAACATTTGTAACGGTGCTTCCGTAGTTTACGTTGAGGCGCCCGGGCTAGTGACATTCACAATGCGGGGAAAAAGTGGGCGTGTTGAGATAGGTATTGACATTCATTTGTAAATAATATGCACAGTTCAAGCTGGACTTTGTTCAAATGAAAGAAGGGAGAAAAAAATAGCCCAGAAAATTTTATTGAGATCCACAAACACCTAAAATTAACGTATTAAACCCTAAAGATCACTAAAAATACCACCTTTATTTTTGCAAAGCTTTTCGTTCTGATATCAATGTTTCAGGACGCTAATTCTGTATTAATCAACGTAGTATTAAAGCCTGACCAGCTATTTGTTAGGAAAGCTGACTTAATGTCGCGTATTCTACAACGTCGTGCGATTGACAGCCGGACTTGGCACTCATGCTCGTTCTTTGTCTTCTTGCCCACATCTCTGCATATAAGACTTCCTCAAATCATGTCGCCGGTCTTTTCCACTCTCGGTATGAGGGATACCATCCAGGAACTCTACGCCCCCATGAAGCTGCTTGTGGTACGAGAGCTCGGCTGAAAGAAAAATAATAAAGGAGTAAGTAAACTAGTAAATTCTTTTGGCTGTTCGTCATACATATGTATGTCACTCAGAGATTGAGGAAGACCACCTCTTTTATAAATCGGAATCATAATCAAGCGAAGTAGACAGTCGGAATGAAGGCAAGCATAAAGCATTTTTATGCTTGCTTTCTGATAAATATGAATATGTAATTTACGCAATGATATCGTTGATTCACCCCACCGCGATGGTCTAGTGCCTAAGGTACTCAGCTGTTAACCCACAGGTCACGCGATGGAATGCCAGCTGTGGCAGCTGCATTTTCAATGGAGGCAAAAACTGTAGGCCCGTGTGCTGAGATTTGAATGCACGTGAAAGGACTCCCGGTGATCAAATTTTTCGGAGCCCTCCACTACGGCGTCTCTCATTATCATATAATGGCTTTGGGATTTGGGACGTTAAACCAAACATATCAATCAATCACTCAATAAAGCAATCAATCAATTAATCAATTTATTTTATTGATTTCAATTGTCAGTTTGGTCTTAAAAAGTGTCGGTTCGTCGGTGGGTTTGTCCAACAGTTTCTTCTGTTGGTTCAGAAATTAAAAAATTCTTACTTCAGCCCACGAACGTAAAACAACTGTTATTAGTACGTATACGCTTTGGCCGGGGTCGGGTCTTTGTCAGGAAATACGTGATGAAGACCGGACCGGAGCCGCAACGAAAGGAACTAATAAAGGTTTTAATAAGTTCGTCCATTCAAACCAATCGTATACACACACACACACACATATATATTTATATATATATATATATATATATATATATATATATATATATATATATATATGGTTGGAGTAATAATTCAATGGCCCAGTTAGTCTTCGTGAAGGTATGGGATATGGCTCAACGGGAGCGTTGTCAACAAGGATAAATATATTTATTTCCCAACAGTTTCGGGAGGGGTCCTCCATTCATCAGGGGGTGTGTTATACTGACATGAACTTCCAAACTTCATTGCTGCCGCGTCCCTCTCGCCTTGAAAGATGTTTGCGAAAGTGAGAGGGAACTAAAAAAGGAAAAAAACAAAAAAACTAAAAGGGGGGAGAAAAGACGAAAAAGAAAAAGAAAGAAAAGAAAGAAAGTAAGAAAGAGGAAGAACCACTGTCAACACTGAGAACGAAACCAACTGTCCGTGTACGTCTACATACGGTTCTTATCACGTGCAGTTCAGTTCTCGACGTGTGTCGGGCCACCCAAGATTGTCGCTGCAGTGCCGGGAGGGTCCGTGATGGCGTGCGTAAAGAAAGGGTTTCCCCGTAATGGGTCGGCCAGCGTGCGGCGTGCGTAAAGGAAGGGTTTCCCGTTAATGGGTCGGTCGGCTCTTTACCTTTATTCTTCGTCCGTTTCCCTTCAATGGTCATCAAGTGGTAGGCGAATGTAAACACTTTGTATGTGCATGTGGAAAAAAGAAAAAAGGAAGAAAAAAGGAAGAAAAAGGAAGACCATGCTTTTTTCTGGCTGACTCGTACGTGTACACTGTCCTTTCTTGTTTTTTGTTTTTCTTTTTTTCCTTTTTTCTTCCTTTTTTTTCCACATGCACATACAAAGTATTTATGTTCGCCTACCACTTGATGACCATTGAAATGAACCAGACGAAGATCAAAGGTAAAAAGCCGACCGGCCCAATAACGGGAAACCCTTCCTTTACGCACGCCGCACGCCGACCGACCCACTACGGGGAAAACCTTTCTTTACGCACGCCGTCACGGACCCTCCCGGCACCGAGGCGACAATCTTGGGTGGCCCGACACGCGTCAACAACCGAACAGCACGTGATAAGAACCGTATGTTGACGTACACGGACAGTTGGTTTCGTTTTCAGTGTTGACAGTGGTTCTTCCTCTTTTTACTTTCTTTCTTTTCTTTTTTTTCTTTTCGTCTTTTTTCTCCCTCCCTTTTTGTTTTTTTGTTTTTTCCTTTTTTTAGTTCCCTCTCACTCTCGCAAACATCTTTCAAGGCGAGAGGGACGCGGCAGCAATGAAGTTTGGAAGTTCATGTGAGTATAACTCACACCCTGATGAAGGAAGGACCCCTCCCGAAACTGTTGGGAAATAATTATATTTATCCTTGTTGACAACGCTCCCATTGTGCCATATCCCATATATAAATATATATATATATATATATATATTTATATATATATATATATATATATATATATATTTGTGTGTGTGTGTGTGTGTGTGTGTGTGTGTGTGTGTTGAGAGAGAGAGAGACCTGTCGAGGCGGCGAAGGGCAAGAAGAGCACCAAGCGGCCTCGCAAACAGCCGCTACCCCTTCTACAGGCCAGCAGATTCTGTCAGGACCCCCATCACAAAGTACGTGACCGCCATTACGCGTACCAAAGCTGTCGACGCCGCCTGCGAGGCACACCCCGAAAAGGCGACGAAGGTTAATCCAGGTCCACAACGACGGTCAGCTGTACCACAAACGACAGCAACCAGTGGCCAGAATCAACCATCCCCCCACAGCGAAAATCAACAGCCAACAATAGTCATGGGCCAACAGCAGCCAGCACCAGTCAACAGCAGTCGCTTACAGGCCAGCTCGTCACGGGAGGCACAGTGGGATGGAGCTCCAACCCAAACCAGGTACGACCTCCGGGTACTTTGCGGTTTTACTCGCCGCGTCTGTGCAAAGTGACATACTGGTTGTGCGAATGGGCAAGCACCGTTCTCTTCAGATCAATTAGGCCACAGAACAGGTCCAAATTTTTTAAACTTAGAAAACTGGTTGATAAAAGAATACGACACGAACTTCACGTGCGTAGTCTCGAAGAATATGTACTGGCGGGTACGGCTCCAAAGAGGTTGCGCTTGTCTCTAACACCATTGATGCATAATTTTGACAAAGAGAAAAGGAAAGAATGGAAGAAAATTTTCAGTCACGCCACACACGAGCTAACTAAGGTCACTATTGAACACTGTAGAAACACTCTGAACGCACTGAGAAAGGAGGAGCGGAATATAAGAAATAACTTTTCTCTTCCGGAGTGGGAGGCTAAAGAGCTCGCCATGTTTGAGCACAAAAGAACAGAGGAAATAGAAAAACTTACGAGAAAGAAATTTGTGCGCGACAATGTCTCACCATACGCTATACCCACTGCTGCCTACACGAAAAAGACCGGGCTACCTCACGTTCCGAAATATTTGCCACCACAATCCAAAGAACCAAACGTCATTAACCTTTCAGAAAAAGAACTTAACAACGAAGAACTGAGTGTACTATGACGTCGACACACATTCTGCCCTGGCAAGGGAAAGTACGATGAATTCACGCTTCTTAAAGACCTAGACGTTTTTGCACGAAATTGACGATTGGAGGAATATTCCTTCGATAAACCCCAAAAAGACAACTCGCTATTTCGTGGGGTAATCGGCCGGCAATGGACTCCAGACGCAAACAGAGATCGACATTTGGATCTATATATAGACGCGGTTCAGAAAGATGTCATGCATGCGTACAAGGTGCACGAACCAGGTATGAATAATATATCTAAGAAAGAGAGAGAGGCATTACTCGCGTTGAGCAACCGCAAAGATCTCGTAATTAAACCAGCAGACAGTGGAGGCGCGATTGTCGTTCTGAATAAATCGGACTACATCAAGGAAGGCAGGCGACAACTAAATGACAAACAATTCTACAAACACCTCGACTCAGACCCTATCACTGAGCACAAAAGGATCATTGTAAAACCCTAGAGGATCTCACACGTGAATGCGCCATTGATTCAAAGCTTCAAAAGGCACTTACTACGGTACATTCGGCGCCTCGTCGTTTTTACATGCTGCCGAAGATCCATAAGGAGCGAAACCCTGGTATGCCGATTATATCAGGCATGGGAACGTTAACGGAACCCATTTCCTGTTATATTGACTCTCTAATAAAAAACATACCACTCAGACATGAGTCCTTCTTGCGTGACACAACCATTTTCTTCGGGAAATATCGGACGTGAAAATTCCAGAAGGTGCATTCCTTGTAACATTGGATGTTAATTCACTTTACACAAATATCCCACACGACGGTGGCGTAAAGGCACTTGTTGAATTGTATCGCACACACAACCCTATCGCATATATAAGCAAAAAAGTAATTGAAATCTTAACAAGACTTGTACTCAAATTGAACAGCTTTAAATTTAGCAATGGGTATTACCTTCGAATTAACGGCATGGCGATGGGTACAAGAATGGCCTCAAACTACGCTAACACATTCATGCACCATATAGAGTGCAATTTTCTTTCATCTTGTGATATCGAACTTTTATCTAAAAATGATACCTAGACGATATATTCATGGTTTGGACACATTCGAAAAATGAGCTGCTCAAATTTATACAGGCATTTAACTAAGTACACCCCAGCATTTATTTTACACACTCCTACTTCAACACTGAATTGAGTTTTCTTGATGTACTTATTCAAATGGACGATGGTGCGTTGGTAAGTAGCGTATACACAAAACCTACGGACAGGCAACAATACCTGCACTTCAAAAGCTGCCACCCGTGACACTGCAAGACCAGCATTCCCTATTCCCAAGCACACAGATTCCGACAAATCTGCTCCTGCACCAAGGACTTCCACAAAAACAGCACACATATGCACGAAGTACTCCTTCACCAAGAATACCAGTCAGCTACCACTGATGACGCCATCAAAAAAGCAAAAATCTGGACCACCAGACTCTTTATACCACCAAAAAGATACCAACCAGTACCATAACAAAAACTTGGTGCTAACTTTCACGAGCCATCCACCTAACATAAACAAGGTCCTAAGAAAACACTTTAACATATTGGAACAGAGCGGGTGACTATCCAAAACTTTCACTTCTCATCCCGGTGTGGTGTACAGACGGCCAAAAAGTATAAGGGATCACTTGATAAGTTCAAAAATAGGCGTGAAACCTCAAACAAGGTGTCGCCCTTGTGGAAAAAGCAGATG